TGGAACACACTTTTATAGCATAATTTTTAAGCAAATGTTATCACACGTCGACAAACAAATGGTTCCCATCGAGTTCGATGGATGCGGGGGGTGCTAATACCTTCCCCTTGCATAATTGGCTTCTGAACCCGTTCTTGGTCGCGAGACCATCTTATCCATTTCTTTCTTAAGGTTTTCTCGATATTTTCCTTTCCCCTCATGGGATAAATAAAGTTCGGTGGCGAATTTTCTGTCTATCTTTTTCGCCTCCCCGTCGTTGCACGATGCATTTTTCGAGTAGCGACAATCATTATCAACATGAGCATCCATTTTTTGACAGTACATGATCAGATGAATCTTTGGGCATGTAGCTCCTTCATAATGATCAAAGCTAGGAGTTTTGAATTTTGGAGGGATAACCAGACCAGATACAAGACATACTTCTCTAGAAGCAACACCAAAGATTTGATCTCCTTCCATCATTCTCATCCTCTTATCAATAGTTTCCACATTTTCTCTGAGTTTCTCATGATGTTCATCTTCATCTTCCCTCATAACAGGGACATCATATACTGGTTGATGCTCATTGAAGTATGGTTGTACAGGAGTATGCACAACAGCTAGTACGAAAGTAGGAATCACCTGAGGAGTTTCAGTGACCAAAGGAACAACTTGTTGAAGTTTTTGAACAATAGGAACTACAGCAGGTGTAGGCACAAAACCTAGAGGAAGACCATATAGAGGTACATTTGCAGTAGTAACAATAGATGGTTGAAGATCCACAACTGTATTGGCAATCTCAGAAACAACAGCGGGCTGAGTATCCATTCTCGCACGTATAACCTGTAGCATCTCCATTATCTGCCCCACACATCCCCGAAGGTCTTATAATTAATTGCTGACACACTCAAGTTCTTGATTTTGTTCCGCCATCTTCTTACAAGCTCTAGCTCTGGTGTTGTATTGGTGCAGAGGACTCAAGGTGAACAAACTGAAGGACGAGATAACATAATGAGACAAAACGGAAGGAAAATGCACATGCAAAGACATGGATGCAATGCTATGATTTCAAGGAATCCAAAAGTGAGTTGCAAATGTTTTTGAAAAAATGACAAAAGGCTTATTTTAAACTTAGGATTTTTATTGGATTCGCAAAGGAAGAGAAATTGAATTCCTTGAAACCGAAGTGTTATGAATGCTTGAATGTATGGATGCACCAACACACGTATACAAATATTCACACATACAGATAAGCAAACAAAGGCCTAGGTTAGAGGGTCATAAGCATGGAGTTATGGTCTACCCATCCCGAAGGGCGTGTACTAAGGGTTATTGTACTTGCAGAACAAGGATTCTAAGAGGTGCCCAAAGTCATCAGTCCATATTTCGGATATTATCAATTTCCCGAATACTCGGTGGTTAATAATATTCTCAAGAGAACCTCTTTTGAGTAAAGTATCGCGTATCAACTACTTTGGGATTACTCCCTCATAGTCATCGCATTACACCCTAAGAAAGGCCAAAGTTGTGTTAAAGGTAACTAAAGGTTCCCAGTATCACAGGCTCCTAGGTCGAAAATAGTAAGTGTTTTCACGAATACTCGTTCAACAATACCATTTCCAAGAGGGCCTTAACTTAGCAATGATTCTCAAGTTAGCATGGTCGGGAATCACTCCCTATAAGCCTTCTCAAATATATCACCTTCCTATCATAAGTACGCTCAAGTCTGGGTATAGGACTTATCTCACAACAGTATATAACCCAAGCAGGTACAGTCACATAAATATATATACAAACAGATATTTCGTAAATAAAACACATAAACAAGTTAGGGGTAACCCTCGAAAGTTAGATGTTCTCCCCAGTGAAGTCGCCATTTCTATTGCAGTGAGAATCAGATATCAAGCTATTTATTAACTTGAATCACACATCTTTGAATTCACAACCGATCTTTGATTTATCCGAAGGAAAGGTTAAAGAAAGAAAAACCTAAATTGCATCATAAACACGATGCGGGGAGATCTAAGATTTGGGGTTTGGTTATACCTAGGGAAGGTGTTATCATCCTAAGCATCTGTAGTACTCTACAGGAACCTCTTGTTAGTATTAGTCTTATTTGCTATCTATTATCTATTAAAGGTTGAAAGGAGACCTAAGGGGTTAGTCCTAAGTATGCTCGCCAAGACATCGCATCTCGTGCCTAAGTATCCTGACGGGAATGGAATCAGAGCATTCGTAATTCCCCTCAAAGAGGGTGAGGAACTTCTTGATTATGGTCAAGGTTCCAGGGGGAGTAAGCGTTCCTAGGGAGACACTTACGTGGAGTGCGGCGACTCAAAGTCTGAGTTGAAGTTGAAAGGTAGGTAACTGTCCTCGACGAGAGCTTACATGGAGTACGGTGACTCCTGATCCTAGGGTTAGGATGAAGGGTATAAGAGGATGTTCAATGGCAGGATATTTACATGGAGTGTGGCAACTCTGATCCAAAGGCTAGGATAGAGGTCAGGATCTAAAATTGCTACGTGTGACATGGCAGTTAACATGGATGAGGTGCTTTTCTTTGGAATATAATGTGAACCAATCTTATAACTTAACAAAGAGTTAGAAATATGTTAAGTGATCGTGTATACTTAAAAATCTTTAGTTTTAAATGAAAAGAGACATTATCCTAATTATAGGACTTGAGATCTGGTTTTAGAGGAGCCTATCCTACCAGTATTAAGCAATATATTGAGTTCAATCCGAATTCTATTTGAGTAATTCCTAATTAAATTGAAATAAGAATATTTTGGGATTTTATTGCGATTGGGATCGTCAAGGATCAAATCACAACTTCATACAATTAACGGCAGATCAGAAGTCACCATCAAAACTAAATTAAAAATTATAATTAAAGCCGAATAGCAATCAATTAATAGATTAGAAATTTTTAGACTCTCATTTAATTAAGACTAATTAATCAATATAAAAATATAAATTAAAAATGAAAAGTGAGATAAAAAGATGAAAAAAGATGTGCCTAAGCACATGCTTCCTAAAAAACAACAATAATATGAAAAAAAAACAAGCAACAAAAAAAAGTTGGGTCGGGTTCACCTCTTGGCCCATCCGACCCAGCAACATTCATAAAAATCCAGCCTTAAAAAGAAAAGGAAATTGAGTCAGCTATTCATCCTCTTCCTCTCGTCGTTCCCTTTCCGTCTAACACCTGAGTACCACATTTTCCCAAGTGGAAATAGAAGATTCGTGATGATGGTACGACGTCGGCGATGTCGATGCAACCAAAGGTATGTCTTCCTGCTTCTTCTTGATGTTGCGCGAATTTTCTTTGGTGCGGTTGCTGATGATTTCTTCTGTGTGATATTCTGCACTGCTGTCTGTTCTTAATTTTTCTCTTTTTGAATTTTTTAAAACGAGTGTGATGCTCGTCTATGTGTATGTATCTGAATGTCTTTCTTTCTGCGAATGCTTATCTATTGTCGCACGTGCGTATGGGCAGGGGCGGTTCTTAGGCCCGGCCAGGCTGGCCACATGCCCAGGCTCAGGGGGGCCCAATATTTTTTTTTCTATTGTTTAAAAAGAATAAAATAAAATTTAAAAAAATAAAAAAGAGAAAGAAAATAAGGGTTCACTTTAGTTCACCGTTCACACAAAACTCACTGTTTCGTCCGTCCAACTCGCCGCACCACTGCCATTATTCCACCAACGTCGTCCAACTCGCTGCACCGCCACTATTCCGCCAACGTCATCCAAGAACCGTCCCTGCGTGGCTGCGTTCCAACTCCGCAAATCTAAAATCTATGTCGGTGCCGTCGCGCCGCCACTTTCAGTCTTTCACTGTATAATGTGTTCTGAAATCAGCCAATGTAAGTTCTATCATTTGCTATGCTTAAGTAGAAAATTCACAATTTGTTATCCTTATTTCTACAATTTTATGATGTAGAAAAATTTGTTGAAGAATCCAAACCAAGTTTTTCTATAATTTTAGCAATTGAATTGGTTGAATGGAATTGAATTTGTTGAATGGTTGAATAATGGAATTGAATTTGTTGAATGGTTGAATGGAAATATGGAATTGATGACAGCAAAGATTTTACAATGCCTCTGAGCTCTTGCCCAAACTTGAGTTTCCACAAACAGTGGAGAATGTTCCAATTTGATATTTTGTGGACAGTAGATTGTTTTGGGGCTTCATTTTTGCATGAATGCTTCTAAAGCAGTGATATGTAATAGTACATATTTTGATAGTTAATTGATGGCAGTAGGAAAAAATGGTTTGTATGAATTTCAATATTTTGAATAGGAATTATAGTACTAATTTATGGTACTTATGGTTGGAATTAGTTACAACATATCTGACAAATGTTTTTTTCTTATGATCTACTAAAAAAATGATGTTTTGTTTTAGTGGTGTTTGAAATGCTAATTTCAGTATTTATTATATTTTGGTAATGGTAGTTATATATTCTTCCAAATTTTCTGCTTTCTTTTATCAATTGTTAGCTATTTGTGATAATTAGCAGTAACTATCTTGGCTTTTATACTATGCAGTGCTGCTATGACAGATATTTTGGTTTCAATTTTTTTGCATTGCGTATCCGTATATTACGCGTTTTGATTGCGAATTCACTTCAATTCTGTTTTGATTGCAGCTCTGTAAATTTGATATTACTTATTGGTTTTTAAGTTGGTGCTTCTGGCACATAAGTTGGTTGAATGTTGAAAGCATGGCTGCAGATACTTGTTTTAATTCTTGTGTTGGATTAGTGTATGATTTGCAATGCATTCTTTTGCCGTAATTCTGATACTGCTGAATATTTAAGACCCGATGGAATATAAATGCACGAGTTTAATTTTGTGCTTAACTTAGAAATTTGGTAGAACCACATTAATTGTGCTACTATAATGTGACCTATTCAATTGTAACCCCGTTGTTGTGAAACTATGATTCAAATGTTAATTGTGCTGCTATAATGTTATTTACCATATTATAAGTGATTATGTTTGGATTTTTTTCAGAGATGAGGAGATTTTTGGTTGAGTCAGAACCAGAACCACCTCCGCCTAATGTGGTTAATGAGTTTAACCCAAATGAGATTGTGCGTGATCCAGGTCATAGGAAACAAATTAATGAGTATGCTCCGGATATTCAAGATCAAGTGAGGAGGGCATATATATTGAAAGGTCCAATGCAACCAGAATTGCCAAGCTTTCCTCGTACTCCATCTGGAAGTGTTAAAAAAGCATTTAGTAAATCATGGTATAAGAATTATACATGGTTAGAATATAGTGAGATCAAGGATGCAGCTTATTGTTTTTATTGCTTTCTCTTTAAGAAACCCGGGAGGGCCGAGCACTTTGGTTTTCAAGTCTTCACTAAAAGCGGATATAAAGATTGGAAGCATGCATCTCAAGGCTTGAAAGATCATGTTGGTAGTCATAATAGTTTTCACAACTCATGTGTCAAGCACTACGATGATTATAATAATCAAAGACAAAGTGTGGCAAGTAAGTTTGTTAAAGCAACCAACGAATCAGAAGAATTGTATAAGATTCGTTTAACTTGTTCTGTAGATTGTTCAAGATATCTCATTGCACAAGGCATGTCTTTTCGTGGCCATGATGAATCCTCTATTTCTCTAAATAAGGGCAATTTTAGAGAGATGGTAGATTGGGTAAAAGTTAAGAATGAACAAGTGCAAGATGCTTTTGACCATGGTGGAAAAAATTGCACAATGATTTCCGGTGAAATTCAAAAGGAGCTTGCAATGTGTTGTGCACATGAAGTTACCAAGGTGATTTTGGGAGAGCTTGGTGATAGACAATTCTCCGTGCTTATTGATGAGTCACGTGATATATCCGTCAAAGAGAAAATAGCGGTGATGTTAAGGTTAGTAGTAGTATTTTCCAATTTCTAATTTTCATTACCTATTATTCTTTATGCTACCAAGTAAACTTTTCGAATTTGTTTTAGGTTTGTGAACGATAAAGGGAATGTTGTGGAACGATTTATTGCTCTACATCATGTCAAAGATACGACATCTGAGTCATTAAAGGACGCTCTTTATGGTATTCTTGATAAGTACACGTTATCTATTTCAAGGATACGAGGCCAAGGATATGATGGAGCTTCAAATATGAGAGGTGAATTTAATGGTTTGCAAAGAAAGATTCTAGACGAAAACCCTTATGCTTTCTATGTCCATTGTTATGCTCACCGTTTGCAATTGGTTGTTGTGTCTGTTGCTAGTAGTTGCTCATCTATTCATGATTTCTTTAAGTACATCTCCTTGATTATGACCACAACAAGTGCATCTTGTAAGAGGAGGGATGCTTTGACGGAGGCACAACACCAAGATATTTTAAATAAACTTGAGAGTGGTGAGATATTTAGAGGAAAGGGGCTTGCACCAATCATCTAGTCTCACTAGACCCGGGGATACTAGATGGGGTTCACATCATACTACATTGCTTCGTTTGGATCAAATGTGGTCCTCCGTGTTAAATGTGCTTAGTATAGTTGATGAAGATGGACGTGGACCATCTTAGGCAGCAGGTTTGATAGAAAAAATGGAGAGCTTTAAATTTGCTTTTATTTTGAAGTTAACATTAAAGGTGTTTGGTATTACAAATGAGCTTTCACATGTCTTGCAAAGAAAAGATCTTAATATTGTAATTGCCATGGAATTAGTTGATGTTGTCAAAGCTCGGTTGGCCATAATGAGAGATAGTGGTTGGGATGATTTATTTGCTGATGTCCAAGAATTTTGTGTTGCTAAAGGTATTCCGGTGCCAAATATGGATGACGAAATACCAGTTCGGGGTCGTTCAAGGGTGGAAGGAAGAACTATCACTAATCTTCATTGTTGCGGTGAAAATTGGATATCAAGCTATTAAATTAACTTGAATCTTAATTCTTTTACAACCGAACTTTATTTTATCCAAAGGAAAGGTCTAAAGAAAGAAAAACCCTTTTCACGATGTAACAACAACGCTAAGAGATTCGGGGATCGGGGGTTGGTTATACCTAGGGAAGGTGTTAGCACCCTAAGCATCTGTAGTACTCTACAGGAATCTTTTGTTTGTTTGCGTGCTAAGTTAGTGAATGTTTGCTTTGGACTTGGAAAAAGGTATAAGTTGAAACCTAAAGTTATATACACTAAGTTTGCTCGCAAAGACGTCGCGTCTTCTACCTACGTATCCTAACTAGGATAGAATCAGAGCAATCGTAGTTCACCTCACAAGGGATGAAGAACACTTGATTATGATCAAGGTTCAAGGGGGAGCAAACATAAAGATGTTTGTGTGGAGTTTGATAAAACTCCCTAATCTAAATTGAACACTCAAGAGGGAAAGTAAGAATTCATGACGATGATTCTTACATAGAGTTAACGAACTCTATCCTAGGGTTCTAGTTGAAGATCACTCCTAGTACGAGTGGGTTTCTTAGACTTAAAGCAAAGTCTAATGGTTTCTAAACTAAGGTTAAAGATGACTTAACAAAGTCAAGAGAATGGTTATGAGCTATCCATGACATAAGGGTCAATGGAAAGACTTTTCCTTTGGAAGGAGAGAGGGGAGACAACTAGGATGAGAGCTAACAAACTTCATCACTTGGGGAAAGAAAACATTAACATAGTAATAACATGATGAAGATAAAATCATGGTGACAACCATTAAATGAACTTGTTAAAAGTAAAAACCAGGATGCATTGATGACAATCAAAGCAAATGACCAAGCAAGAAATGTGACGACAGATCAAGCTTAAGTAAATTCCTCATAGGAAGAAAAATAATCATGGTAACAACCCAAAGACAAAATCCTAGCATGCTGACTAACATTAAGGAAATGAATGTAAACAAATATCACAACATACACAAGTATGACAAGAAAGAAATTCATCAGTATATGCGATAACGATCACACAACGCAACTATCTTGCAAGTGGTCAAAAGGGATGAAAATTTAAACGAACATGGAATTTTAAAATATGATATGAAAATAGACATAAAAATAAATACAATGCAAAACGAATGGGTGCAAAATGATAAAAAATGAGGGAGATATGATTTTTTGAAGTTTGGGAAAAATAATGAAAAAAACAACAAAAGGGTTGCCCTCCTCAGGGGTCGAACCCAGGTTCATTTGGTACAAGGCGCTTTGGTGACAAGTTGATTACCACCGGGGTGGATGTACATCCATTGATGAATCCACCCCCATAAATACATAAGGGTAACTTTCAAGGCAAGCTGGGCAAAACAAGCTAAAGTCAGAAATTGCATTTTGTTCATAACTTCCTTAATTATTCATGGATTCAAACAAAATTTAGGTCTAGATTGCATAGAATTTCATGAGGAATAAGATGGCACTATTAGTTTTTTGAGATACTCCCTACAAATCAAAACCCGATAGCACATGTTGTGTGATTGTGTAAGGTGCATTTTGAAATGTAGATCCAATTCCAGCCAGTTTTAAATCAAAGCAATCATACACACATACTACAAATATGTTATTGAATGAGTGTGAGCACAAAATGGAGTTAAAGACAAGCTATGGTGAAAACTGACTGTCAAGTTGCAATTTGTGCTTGTGGAAATGCATGATGATGTCTAATTTCAATTCCAGACATTTTCAGATCAAACAAGTCATATACACACACTATATACATGTCATTGAGTGAATTTAGGCAAAAGTTTAGGTCCAAAACAGTCTGTATTGAAAAGTGGTCATCAAGTTGTAACTTTGACATATGCAATGCATCATGATGTTCAATTCTGATTCTAGGCAGTTCCAAGTCAAATAAAATATATGTACGCATCAAAAACATGTTGATGAATGCATTTACACAAAAGAAATTATCTTAAAATGACTGTGGTGAAAAATGGTATGCAACCTGCCTTGGTATGTGTATGCAAAGTGCAGGTGAATTCCAGTTCAGTTTTGATGCACAAACAGGACAAGTAAATCACGTACATATCTTACACACATGCTGGCAAGTGAATCTTAGCAAAAGAATTGGTTCCAAAATGGCTGCTATGGAAAATGACATACAGGCTGCAGCTTTGTGTTTTGATGCACCATGGAAAAGTTTAAAACAGTTTTAATGCAAATTTACACCAAATGTATCATACATACACTTCATATATATGCTTATGAATGAATTCAAACACAAGAGATAGCTCAAAAACAGGCTGATGTGAAAATGAAGATCATGCTGCAATTTGGTGATTTGAAGGATTCATGAAAAAGTTCAAAACAGGTTTCATGCTCTTTTTGATCAGGCTAACACTTCAAACAAGCTACATACTATCTATATGAAGTGCTTGTATTTCAAAATTTGATCAATAATCAATGGAATCAAAACTGATATGGTGATGCTTATTTGTTGGAAAAAATGCATTTTTAAGGTGAAGGATCAAACCATGTGGAACAGATTATGCAGTTCATACACACATGTCACAAATACATAAATGGATGATTTTGAACTCAACCTTCAACAACTTCTGGCCTGTAACCAAAACTAGTATGTTCATGGCAATAATATGCAAGATAAAGGCATCTTGAGAATGAACAATCAAACTAGATGAAAACAGCTCAAACCAATCATACATATCCACCATAATCATGATTTTAAATGTGATCCAATTCAACAAACAGATGCATTTCAGTCATGACAAAATTTTGACATGTGACATGTTCATGACACATTTTCAACACAACAAGCTCAAAATGCCAAACATGAGATTATGACATAAAGTAGGAGTTGGATTGTCTACATACCTCTTGTAGACTATGTTGAGCAGATTAGAACACCAAGAAACCCAGAGAAAATTCAAATGCCTCCTTGCTTTGGAACTTTCTTCTCCTTGAAGCAAAATGCAAACTTTAAGACAGCTTGAGAAATAAACTCTACCAATGCTCCTCAATGCTTTGGACAGTTGAGGTATGATATATGTGAGGTGTTTGAATGATTAGAACATCAAGAACAAGGCTAGAACATGATTTGGCATATTTCATGCATTATGGTTAAAGTATCTTGGTATGGAAGTTGACTTTTTGAATGGTGAGGTTTTTGAATGGTCTAAGGGCTTGGACACCTTCTATACCATATTTATGGATTGTGTGGAAGATCTTTGGTGAGTTTGAGTGTAGGGAAATGGATATGGCAGCTGTTCTACCAAGACAGATTTTTGAGGTTTTTGTGGTTTTTGTGATTTTGTGAAAATGGGAGCAAAGAGTGAAAGAGTGGATGCTTGAACTTTCTCTAGTTTTTAGAAGAGTTCTTGTCTGTTGAATGAGGTGTAGATGTCCTCTATTTATAGGGAAATGAGAGGGAAAGGGCAGATTGGAGGTTTCCTTCCTAAGAGGGAAAGGTTTGCAATTTTGAATCAAATCTTCCAAAAGTGTTGTCTTGGCTTGGAGGTAAGTGTCGCTACTGCGAAAATCGGCGCCGGCTAAATAGAGGAGTCGCCACCGTGCGTTATTTATCCCAACGGAGGGAAAGGAAACGCTCGAAGTAAACCTACCGCAAAGACGAGAAAGGAATGGTCATCGCAACCAAATCCTGGATTCGGGAGTCGATTACGCAAGGGGAAGGTATTAGCACCCCTCACGTCCGTCGTACTCGACGGGATCCACGCTTGTTTTCTAGTACAGATTGTTATTCTATCTATTCTACAGGTCTGGGGTTAAAAGAAAATAAAATGACTCAGCAAAGCATCGCACTTTATGGCTACGTATTCCCGTCTAGAACGAGAAATCAGAGTCAACGTAGTTCGCCTACCTACGGGAAAGGAGGGGAAGGTTGCTCGCTAGGATCTCGCATCCTATGCCTACGTACTTTCATACAGCATGAAAGATCAGAGCAAACGTAGTTCGGGCCACGGAAGAAACAGATTTGTCTGTTTATCTTTTATCCTTCTGAAAAAGGTTTTCTCCTGATTACGGGTCCAAGCGGACAAAAATGACTCTTTGATTGGTTTTCAGTCTTTTACGCAAGAACTGTCTTTTATTGATGTTTGAAATCTTATTACTGTGTTTTTGATTGTTTTGAGATAGAAGAGAAAGAACTCTAAAACCTAAGGTAAAATGGGGAATCAAAACCTACCCTAATGTTGTCATGCATGGATTAACACCTAATGTCTGTCATATTTCTCTCTTGCGCAGAGAGAAACAGAGATCCTAGGGGATAAACGGAAAAGAAACAGCATATATACAGTAAAGCAGTAAAATGCATGGATGCAGCAGTACAAGCGAGGCAAGGGAGTCCCACTCAACCTCGAACCTAGAAAAACAATAGGCAAAGTGAAACGGCTTCACTTCAAACCTAAGGGGGAAATTAACAAACAATACAGCAAAAAAAAATAAAACCCCAAAAACCCAGCTCTGACAGCACACCAGCTACTACAGCAGCAACCCTGA